GGATTTAAAAAATTGAAGTCAAACCGAGAAAAATATTTAAACTGAATGTCTCATAAGTGACACGTTTGCCCTCACTGAAATATCTTTCTGAAAGAATTCTGGTTCTGGCATGAAAATCAAATACACACTCTTCCAAAAAGCCTATATACAAAGTCCCTTTCCATATTTAGAAAATCAGACTGGCTTCCATGCCTCATGACCATTCTCAACTTGCTGAGCACATTTTCCTGGTGCACCTTTACCTTAATCCTGCAAGACAGGGCATAATTTTCAGCTCTCCACGTAGGGACAGCTAAGAGTAGAGTGGCTTGGGGGGGGGGGAAAACCATGCATTTTCAGAAGGCCTGAAGTTGTTCAGAATGTGCTGTTAGGGCACAACATGATTGCAAAGGTTTAAGGGGAGAAACTGCAGAGGAGTTTGTGGAGGGAGCGGATCTAGATGTCCCTTCCAGGAAGCCCTCCCTATAGCGCTGCGCATAACAGACACCATTAAAAATATGATCCTACTGTGCATTAGATATTCCTTCATAACTGATTGGCTGAAGATTCCGTTCTGACAAAAGGAAGTACTTAGGGAACAAAGGAAGCAGACCACCTGGTCCATCTAGCTCCACACTGTCTGCACTGACTGGCAGCATCCCTGCCAGCCTATTAATGTAACTGCTCCTATACATGGCCGGCACAAACTCCAGGGTCAGGATGGTGGAGAAATTCGATTCAGCTCACATTTAAAGGCATGAGTTGCCTTTATTCGCACTTTCTGAAGCGATATGCAAACCGAAGTGCAGCCATCCTTTGAAATCTGTGCTTCTCTGACTTTTGCAATGCAGTTCTCAAGCCAAGTAATGTTGTACAAAGATGCATATAACCGGAGTAAATGCATTCTCACCAAGTAGCAGCTGTTAGTGGGAAGCAGGGCTTGTTCCATCAGCTTGGTCAAAAGACCAGCTCCGTTGGGCGCCTCCTGCCCCTGAGTTGTCTCTATGCCAGATGATCATCATAAGAACTACTATTTAAGCATTTGTGCCTGACTTTGCTGCTGATGCTGCTATTTTCCTCCTCCCTCCCTGTCCCTTTCCCCTTGTGTGCCGCGTTCTTTAGACTCCAAACCTGCAGGCAGGGACCGTCTTCTTCTAATTCATTTGTATGTTAAGTCACCCTGGGAGCTTTTGCTGGCTGAAGAGCAGGGCACAAATGCTCTAAGTGAATAGAGTGTTCATGTAAGCACGTGTATTGATGCAAATGGCATATTAAAGTGCATTATATTGGGCAGATTTGCTCTGTAAAGCGATTCCTAAAGTATTCCCTGTATCCCGCCCCTCTATAGTACCGTAGCTGTTTACACAGAGCCAGCAGCCTTCCGGAAGCTTCCTTCCCTTTCCAGGACTGCTCCACAGCAGGGTTAAGCCGAGACCCATGGGAAGGCAAAAATGCTCCACAGGAATGGAGTGTAGCCTTCCTCTAGGCTAGGGAAACATGAGGAGCTTTTGAGGAATGAATTTCCACTACATCTGAGCTTCAAATATATACCCCATCACCAGTAAGGAGCCGTTATGTTATGTTATGTTATGTTATGTTATGTTATGTTATGTTATGTTATGTTATGTTTTATGTTATGTTGTTGTTATGTTATGTTTTATGTTGTTATGTTATGTTATGTTATATGTTATGTTATGTTATGTGTTTTATGTTATGTTGTTATGTTATGTTATGTTATGTTATGTTATGTTATGTTATGTTATTTGTTGCATTTATATCTCACCACTTTCTTCAAGGAGCTAAAGGTGGTATCCTTGGTTCTTTCCCTCCTGAATAAATCCCCGCAACAACCCTGTGAGGTAGGCTGGGCTGAGAGCCACTGTGTGGCTCAAGGTCACCCACGGACCTATATGTGACTCCATGGAAATTTGAACCTGGCCTCCCAGGTCCAGCACTCTAACCATTATACCACACCACTAATAAAAATAATCCCCTTTCTACATCTATCTTACCACTGTCGATTGTGCTTGGGCTATCTATTTGGACACAGCGATTGCTTGCATTAAGATGTTTAAGTGAGGGTTGATGGGTTATTTTTTTTAATTTTAAACGCGAACTGAAAATTCCCTTTTGTTATAGTTGCAAAATAAACAAACAAAATACTATTGCAATAATGATGGGGTTCTAACTGCTCACTCTTCTCCCAAAATTTAAGTGACTAAATACTGAGGGCGAACCAAGTTAGACAACAGAGGGCCGTAAGAGCCCTTCTGCTCTCTAGAAATAATTTGCCCTTTCCGTCTCTCATCCGAGGCTATTTGTAGCTGGCATTCGCTTCGGTGGCAAACATTTCTGCCAGCTCTTTCCTGGCCTGGATCCTGCATCCTTTTTATTTTCGCAGCAGGCTGGACGCAGGGACGGTGGGGAGGGGGGGGGAGGGAGCCCTGCCATTGATTTCGACAGCTGCAATGACAGAGTCTTTCATTTCAACTTCCTTCTTTTTTTGCAACTCTGTGTAACTGCGCTCTGGCCTCATTCATAAACTGAGCTGGCAGCTGGCACTGTCTGCCAGGGGACTCGGAAGCGTGAAAGCCAGGGAAGATGCTGGCGGAAGCGCTTTAACCCCTCCCGATCCAGCCATCCCAGCTCCATCTTGCAGGTGTTTCTACTTGGCAGAGATGGGCACCAGCCATGGACATCATAAAATCACACACTCCGTCGCTTGTTTTCCCCGTCAAGTCCACAACAATTGACTACAGACAAGCCCATCAATCTGCACAGAGCATGTATTTTGCAACTGATAGCTACTCATCCCTCTTGACTATATATTTTTTATTTTTAAAAAGAAGACGAGAGAGAGAGAATTGGATGCTAATGACTTTTTCCCTTTGTTTCCGACGAACAGTGGAGCATTTTCAAGGCCCAGCAGTAGATAATATTCTCCCTTTCTCGTCTGGCCTCTGCTACAGGAACTCAATTGTCAAGCTTCAACACTGACAGCTGTGTTTTCTGCAACGGGCCTCCAACAAATCCCGCCACTGTGCAATATTTCCGCACATTGGACTATCTCACCAAGCCTTGTGGCTCCTGAATTTGCAGAGGAGATGGCAAACTGGCCACATGCACCCCTAGAAGCAGCAGTGGAAGGGGCCGAGTTTGGTGTGGCGGACTATGGCAGTCCCTCTTCTCAAGGAAAACAGGGTAGGGAGGGAGAAGGGGGGGGAGCAGGCTCAGGGAACATTTCTCAAATTTGCCGTTCTGAAAGAGAAGCAGCAGGAGTGGAAACAGTTCAGGGAGCTGAACAGAATGGCTGAGTCTAGCAAAAGCAGGTGGTGGGGCAGCAGCAGCACTCACCTGGCCTCCTGGCAGTTGAGTGCATTCTGGCAAAGAGAGGAGCATTGATGACCCGGTGGGGAGCTTGGTGTGCCGCAGTGCAAATGCACTGACAGGAAGACTTGAGTGGCTCTGCCCATGCATTTGCACCGTGCCAACCTCCCTGCTGTCGCATTCGCTCCTGACACTCAAGGGAGCTTCTGCCAGTCAGTGTTGACTATATTGAGCTTGGCGGACCAGTGGGTCTGGCTTAGTATATGGCAAGTGTCCTGGGTGTAGAAGGGCTGGAGCTCAGTGGCAGAGCATTGGCTTTGCATGCAGAAGGTCCCAGGTTCAATTTCTGGCATCTCCAGGTAGGGCTGGGAATGTTCTGTCTGAAACCTCTAGAGAGCCACTGCCAGTCAGTGTAGACCAAAGATAGACAACAATATGACACTTCTCCAGATACAACTCCCATCAGCCACTGCCAGAAAGGCCAAACATCAGCACCTGAACGCGCACCACACCGGCTATCCCTGGTGTAGATAATACTAAACTAGATAGCTCAAGGATGAGGCTTGGCATATAGCAGCCTCCCATGTTCCTTTGTGAATGGCAGAACGGATTCCAGCGCTCGCTCACTGCCCTTAGTCTGAAGACTATTAATTCCTCTCACGGATTCTCCAACAAAGGCTTGGCGGAAACCCAGCTCTCTGTTCTCCCGCCTGCTGGCAGGATCGCATTGTCAGAAGCAGCGAGATAGTCTCTTATCACTTTGATTGGCTAATCCCCCAATAATCCAAATAATCCACTTTCTCCAAATTTATGCCACAGCAATACACACACACACACACACACACACACAAAGCGAGGCTGGGAAGATGGCATCTTATCCATCAGTAATTTCCTGAGAGGCTTAGGGTCACATCTGCACCTTCCATTTAAAGCGCTGTTATAGCACTTTAACAGTGGTAGTTTTCCCCACCGCCAAAGAACCTTGGGAACTATAGTTTAGGGTGCCTGGGAGTTGTTAGGAGACTATCTATTGCTGTCACAAAGCTACAATTCCCAGAGTGATTAACAAACCAATCTCTCTTCCCATGGAACTCAGGGGAGTGTTGCTCTGTGAGGGGAATAGGGTGCTCCCAATGACTCTGGGCACCCTTAAGAAACTATAGTTCCCAGGATTCTTCGGTGGAAGCCTTGGCTTTTGAAAGGCGTTTACTAGTACTTCAGATATATGGTGCAGACATGGTCTATGGGTGCAAATAGAAAGAACTACTTGATGCAAGAACAGAGAGAAATACAATTGTGTTTTCCTCTCTGTGCATCAGATGGTATGCATGCCATCACATCCATTAGCAAACTCAAGCTTTCAACAGCCCTGCAAGGTTAGCAAGCCAGTATTGTTATTCCCCCACAACACAAATGGGAGGTGCTGAGGCAGAAGGGCATTGATTAAATGCATTTATAGCCTGCTTTTTGTCCAAGGAACTCAAGGTAGCACAGGTGGCCCTCACCTTCACAACAACCCTGCGAGGTTGGTTAGGCTGAGAGAGTGTGACTGGCAAAGTCATCTGAGGCGGGAATTTGAACCTGGGCCTTCTCAGTCCTAGCTTGACACGCTAACCACTACATCCCATTTTGAAGCTTGTGACTGAGGAAGCTGAGGTGGCAGCTTCCAACCTCATCACTCCTGCTCTCGGCCAGGTATTTTGGTTTAGGCCTGGTTCTCAAAGCAGCCGCCATGTTTCTTGACACAAGAGCGGCCATCTTTGAACATCGGCTACCTCCTCTCCAGACTGCCATTATTGCACACGTGCCGTATAAACGAATCTCTGTGTCAGACACCCAGGTATTTTTGTTCCTTCTCACTAAAGAATATGGGGGGGAAAGGTCATCGGAAAGGGGGAGGGGGAAGCCCCCAGAACCACTTGTTCTGCCAGAGCTCTCTTTGAGTAAATCCTGAATAGCAATGGGACGCCGTCTGAGAAGGTCTCCGCCTTTTGCCAGAAAAAACAAGCCTCTTTCACTCAAAAAGCTCTCCAAGGGGGGATATAGTTAGCCTGAGGTCTGACTCCCTCTCTCCTCTTTCTTTTCCCCTCTTTCTCTCTCCCGGCTTCCTCTACCCTCCTCTGATTCATAACCAGAAACCGCAAATGCAAACATGAGGGCCATATTAGATGAAGCCTGAACGAGAGGGCCCCGTTTCCGCTGAAGTTGTGAACTCTTGTTTCCCCCCCTTGCTGCCTGTCGCCCCTGGTTTGGCGGATTTGAGGTGGGTGAGGTGGAAAGTCATAATAAGCTGAGGTAAAAAGTGTGCCTGAACTAGTCAGGAGACAGTGTGTGAAGAAAAGCCACATTGTGGCGGGTGATTTAAAGCACAATGGGAAAGGTGTGGGGAGCTGACATTTCAGCCCACTCACTGAACTTTTACTTATTTGTTTATTTTTATAGGTTGCTTCGTCCTGTTGTGCCTCCGGAACCAGAAGTAAGCCTGCCTTTAAAATGAAAGGAGAAACACAGCTTTAAAAGTGGTTGCGGTTAGAAATGTGTAGGGGAGCAGGTCCAGCTCAAGACATTTTGCCGTCTGAGGCGAAGGACAAGATGGCAGCACCTCAGCATCCCTCGGTTTCCATGGGCAGAAGCTGGGGGTGAGGAAGGCATTCAGCTCAGCTCATACTGAATGGCAAACCCACGTAACTGCTGCTTCCAGTAACAACACCTGTGCTGAAACGCAACCACCTTTTGAAAACCAACACGGCAAAGCAGTTCTCCAGCCAGGTAATTTGTATAGCCAGGTAATTTGTACAGAAAGGCATATATTGGGGGGGGTATGCATAAAAATGTCTATATTAGTAATAGCTGCATTCAAAAATCCATACTATCATGGAAAACCACTTTGCGAAAAATGTCTGTATAAGGCAGACCTGCACACAAATGTGTATATAAGTAGAAATTTGCACTAAAACGCTGGTGAGTTTTCAAAATAACTTAAAAAGAAAATCAAATCCGTAAAGCAATGTAGAACAACAACAACATTATCCGCCCAACAACAAGAACAATATTGCTGAAGTTGCAACAGTATTACCCACTCTTCAATCTAAGGTCCCAGGTCATGTTACAACAATTAAACCACCATGTTAAAAACATCTTAAAACAACTTACAGTCACAGAAATAAGGTGGGTTCTAAAACATCTGAAGTGTCAAAAAGCCAGAGTAAAGAAGAGGAGAACTGAGCTTAAAAGGCTAGAAAAATGGGAAACAGAAAAAGCAAGACAGATTTGCCAGTCCCCAACAGAAGTAGGCTCTACTGGAAGATAGCTTTTACATCAGGCACTGTTCACCAACAGCACATGAGCACAGCTACCAATACGTGGACTTCAGTGGCCAAGCTCTCCTGATTCAGATTTAGCCATAGCTGACATACGTCGTGGAGCTGGTATATAAGACACCCCTAGTCACAGAGGCCACTTGGTCCTCCAATGACAGAGATTTATCCAAGAGATATTTATGGGGAGACAGATGTCCGGGTGAGATCCCAGCCACACATCATCTTAATTTCCCAGGGGGATCTAGACACACACAAATTAGCATAAATACATTTTATGCAGATTTGTGCCATGAACCTGTGGCCGTAGCCCTTAGGTACCTACCAAAGCCCTTGGGATGATTCGAACAAAGGACAAAAATGCCTAGGAGGCACAAAGCCAAAGACTTTTTAAATCCAGTATAACAGCAAACTCAGTTCTCTGAGAGCGGATCCTTCACCAAGAAGATAGGAAGCTGCCTTATACTAAGTCAGAGCATTGTTTCATCTAGCTCAATACTGTCAACACTGACTGGCAGTAGCTCTCCAAGATTTCAGGCAGGGGTTAAATCCCAGCCCTACCTAAAGATACCCAGGATTGAACCTGGGGTCTTCTGCATGCAAAGCAGATGCTCTACTACTGAGCAACAGCCCTTCCATTGAGACATAAGGATGCTGCCTTATGCTGAATCAGACCCTTGGTCCATCTTGCTCAGCACTGTCTACACTGACTAGCAGCAGCTCTCCAGGATTTCAGGCAGGACTCTTTCCCAGCCCTACCTGGAAATATCAGTTGAACCTGAGACCTTTTGCATGCAAAGCAGACCATCTTAGCATGGAGCTATGGTCCATTCACAAATTTATAGGAATCTACCTTACACCAAGTCAAAGCATTGGTTTGACTAGCAAAACATTGCCAACACTGGCTGGGAGCTGCTCTCCAGGAGACATTGCCAGTCCTATCTGTAGATGTCAGGTATTGAACCTGTGAACTTTCTTTGCATGCAAACCACATGCTCTAGCACTGAGCTACGGCCCTTTCCCCCAAACCAAACAGCACCCCCAACTACATGGTGGGGGCTCAAGGTTTGTGAACGCTCCAGCATTTCTCCTGAACAAATCAGAATATTTCCCACCCCTGTCCCACTGCCGCTGCTTGTCAGCTCACATCCCCCATCCTGCCACCACCACTTGTCAGACCTCAGCATTCCTCTCCCACCATCCCACCACCACTTGCCAGCTTACGAACCCCCCCCCATCCCACTGCCATCACCGTTTGCTAGACTGCATCATTCACCCACGAGGAGGGCTGCAACTTCCTGACGTTTAACACTGCAGCCCTCCTCACATGTATTTTGGTTCTGCACTCTTTTTTGTTTGTTTGTTTTATAAATTTTATTTTTCGGTTTTTCAAAAAAAATTTACAAACATGCAAATAACAAAAACACAAATCGCATACATTTCTAATACAGTGGAACCTCAGTTCCCGAACACCCCGTTGTCGTATGTTTCGGTTCACAATGCTGAAAACCCGGAAGTAAATGCTTCCGTTTTTGAATGTTTTTTGGAACCAGAACGTGCAACGTGGCTTCCGCTGAGTGCAAGAATCTCTTGCAACCAATGGGAAGCCACGTCTTGGTTTTTGAACATTTCAGAAGCCAAACAGGCTTCCAGAACACATTTCATTCGAGAAGCGAGGTACCACTGTACACATATATTCAACTTCCCTCCCCCCACTTTTTGTGGTTTTTTAAATTTTAATTTTCATACTGCAGTTTCCACATTACTCCATCTTTAAGTTATTCTTTAGTTTCCCATAATAATCTGTTTAAATGCTACTTTTACGTTAGTCCTGCTAATGAGCTTATTTGGGTTCTGCGCTCTTTTGGTCCTCCTTGTCTGAAATCCTGGGACATCCCAGGATGGAATCAGAAGCCAGAATGGGTTCTGTAATTCTGTAATGTCCCAGTAAAAACGGGACAGTTGGGCACTATGGATTTGCAGAAGTACAAAATCATTTGTGGGAGTAGGAACAGAGTGAGAATGCTCAGTCCATCGCAGGGTGCTGTCTGGCGGTTGGAAGGGGAAATGACCAGAAAACTGGGCAACGGAATGGAGTGTCTTGAAAAGGGGTTTGGCGGGCTCGCTGTGACCATAAGCAGGACTACTACATGCTACAGCATTCTGTTGCAAGTCACACTGGTTGTACAAAATGCAGAGCTCTGGCAGGTCTCCAGGGACTGGATTTAGACATGGAGGTTCATTGTGGGATTCTTGGAATGATTATACCGTGGTGCCTCGGAAGATGAACGGAATCCTTTCTGGAAGTCCGTTCAACTTCCAAAACATTCAGAAACCAAGGTGCGGCTTCCGATTGGCTGCAGGAAGTTCCTGCAGCCAATCGGAAGCAGTGCAAGCCGCGTCAGACGTTCGGGTTCCAAAGAATGTTTGCAAACCGGAACACTCACTTTGCGGCGTTCGGGAGCCAAAACATTCGACTCACAAGGAGTTCGAGATCCAATGTACGACTGTCCAAGAAAACAAAAAAAAAGCAGGATTTATACAATGTAGTTTGTGTGCATTATTTTGCAGGGAGGAACAGAAAATGCTCTCTGGCTATTGTGGGGTTAACAGCAAAAAAGAGTTCGGGGGGGGGCGGCTTAGAAAACTCCCGAATGAGGATGGCAAGCAACCCTCCCCTCTTGACAGATGGCCCAGAAGCCAGTGAACTGCCCTTCTCCTCCCAGGAGACCTCCCCACCTCCTGTAATCTAATTAGATTTATATTCTGGGAAATTCAAGAAATGGTTGTGTTAAAAGAGGAGTAAATTGTGCAGGGTGGAGGGTGCTCATCCATGGGATTCAGGAAGAGGGCAATTAAATGCCAACAGGCTGCTCTAATCCAATTTGTAGGTCGACCCTACAAATTGCATCTCCATTTTAGAGGGATGAAAAAGCTGAAAAAGCTTTGCATGCCTGATGCCAAGAATATGTCTGTGTTTGGACCTAAGGATAAACCAGGAAGAACATCATAGCAAAAAGTTAGATTATCATCTTGAAGGCAGCCCTAACTTCAGTTTCACAATCTCAGAGACACAACACAAAAGGAAAAGGGGCTGGGAGGGAGGAGGAGATAGAGGTCAACATGGCCCCATCCAGTGGCTAAAGAAGGAGCAGCTGAATGAAATTCTAGTGCCTGAATTGGGAGGAGTAGCATTTCCTCCTCCCTCCCAATCCTTTTCCCTTTTGTGTTGTGTCTTTTAGATTGTAAGCCTGAGAGGACAGGGGCCATCTTATTATTGTTGGAAGCCCCTCTTAGTTCCTTTCTCACCTGAAGGGTGTTCTGCCTCCACAATGGGCAGCAGTATGCCTCTTTATACCAGCTGCTGGAAAACCACAGGAGGGGAGAGTTGCTGTGGCACCCAGGTTATGCTTGCGGGCTTCCCACGGGCATCTGGTAGTCCACTGTGAGAAGCGAATGCTGGACTAGATGGACCATTGGCATAAACTTGGAGGGCTCTTCTTATGTAACTCACTAAGCAAAAACAAGATGGGAGAATGGCTCAAAAGCCTTCACTGGGGTGGGATCTAAACCGCCTATCTTTTTGGCTCATCTTTCTTCAAGTATTTCTGAGTTGGCCCTCCAAAGCTATCATTTAAGACGCTCCACAGTCAGCTTCCTGGCTTTGAATACAAAGGTCTGGATTGCTGAAGCTGATCTCGTGCCAGGCCTAGGAGAACAGATTTCCTTTCAAGAGCTGCCAAGATCTGTCAAAATTGCCTGAACCACAGTGGCCAAATTGTGTGGACAGTGCTTCTGTGAGGTGGAATCCAGCTGACAAGCACTGGAGAGATGGGAAAGGGATCGCAAGAGAGGGACAGCCTATCTCAGAAAAGACCACGGGGGCCATCTAGTCAACTCCCCGGCTCAGTGCAGTTGCAGCAACCCTGCTGGCCATCCAACTTGCTTCTCCACTCCCTGCTGAACCATGAGAGGCCCTATCTTCATTGGCATGCCACAGGCATTTGCAGATGCACAAGTTTTTAGACAGAGATGCGTTCCCATGATGACTTGACCCAAGTCTCCTGTTTGAACTGCTGTACTGTTTTAATGGGATCAATTGACACGGAGGTGCTGTGGTCTAAACCACTGAGCCTAGGGCTTGCCAATCAGAAGGTTGGCGGTTCGAATCCCCGTGACGGGGTGAGCTCCCGTTGCTCAGTCCCAGTTCCTGACCACCTAGCAGTTCGAAAGCACGTCAAAGGGCAAGTAGATGAATAGGTACCGCTCCAGCGGGAAGGTAAACGGCGTTTGCGTGCGCTGCTCCAGTTCACCAGAAGCACTTAGTCATGCTGGCCACATGACTCGGAAGCTGAACACCGGCTCCCTCGGCCAATAAAGCGAGATGAACGCCACAACCCCAGAGTCATCCGTGACTGGACCTAACAGTCAGGGGTCCCTTTACCTTTAATG